TCCAATGAATATTACAAATAAATTCACAATATATTGGATGTTCATAAATGCTATGAAAACAAAGCATGAAAAGAAGAGAAGATGGCATGTGTGGCAATATTTTATAAAATGATAGGATAATGTTTTAGCAGAGATGATGGGAGTGAGGGACAAGCTGTACAGGTATCTAATGGAAGAGCATTTAAGAAAGAACATTTATGACAGAGTTAGTGCAAAGACCCTGAGGCAGAACAGGATCAGCACAATGTGGGATCAAAAAGGAGGTGGTATGGTGGGAGCAGTTAGAGAGGTTCAGAGTTTTAGAACTGTGGTCAGATGAGAAAAGCTAGAATCAGATCATAGAGGACGTTGTAGGCCATGGTAAAGGCTTCAGTTCTGAAGAAGGAAAGCCATTACTGCTTTCTGACTAGGGAGTGATGTGTAGTGCACCCTCTAACATCTTTGAAGGCTGTTTGTGTTTAAAGCACTGTGCTAAAAGCTGCCAGGGTATCAGTAAGAGAATACCCTTGCTTTCTGGAAGCATGTTATCTAATGAAGATAAATTGTAAATAAGTAATTACAATAAAAGCACAAGTGAAATTAGTTGCCATAATATAAATGTAAGCAGAGCTGTATGAGTGAAAAAGAAGGAACCCTTAATTGTAATCACAGAAATTAGTGAGGAGCTACTGGACCCGAGAAATCAATTGACCGTCTGTTTCTAATCAAAGTGAGTAGGCTTGTTAAGGAGCCTCTCCTCTTAACCGAAGTTTTAACTCAGCCACCTCACCCTCAAAAAGCTCTAATGGGAGAAGAACAAGGAGATAGTGTTAAGAGATTTCTTTGTCATTGTTCTTTTTTTTTTTTAATATTTTATTTATTTAACACAGAGAGATCACAAGTAGGCAGAGAGAGAGGCGGAAGCAGGCTCCCTGCTGAGCAGAGAGCCGGATGTGGGGCTCCATCCCAGGACCCTGAGATCATGACCTGAGCTGAAGGCAGAGGTTTAACCCACTGAGCCACCCATGTTAAAAGCAGTAAGAGTTTATTAATACTAGTACTGCAGCTCCTCTGACATACCCTTTTATAAAGGACAGAACATGCTTCTGAAGTATGTTAAAAAACACTTGAAACTATCACTTCACTTGTAGGAATGAAGAAAAGAAAAAGAAAAACAATCCTTTCATGTATTTGAAACATCACTTGGTTTTGCAGTTTTCAAATAGTGTCTTTCAGTTGTATGAATTTTCATTATATTAGCAAAATGTGAGAAAATTATGATTAAGTCTATTTTTAAGTATCCTAAGAAATTAAATTTAGAGTACTTTATGCCCTTAAGATCACTGCAGATGATATTTGCAAGTGTCAATATTTTTTCTCTTACTATACGGATTAGAGTGTGCTTTGAAATAAAAATGTTATTCGTGTAAAACTTCTCTAACAAAATGGTCATGTAACCTACATCTCTTCAGAAGCACATGCCAGTTGAGAAGAAATTACCACATTATAAGGATGGCACACTTCTCTTGGCTGTAGTACCAACAAGGGAAGGCCTCCTACTGGACAACTCTGTGTCTTATCTCTCCTGCTTGCAGATTTCCATAAGGCATTGGTAGAGACCCTGAGTTGCATTTACTTTTCTGAAGACCGCTCAATAGCCAGCTGCCTTATCAAGGTCGGTCTCTTTTGGTGAAGTATCCTTACCTAAGTTACTTGGATCCTATTTGAGTTATAGTGGTTTTCCTAGATGGCTTGTTGGTGGAACTCTAAGAATTTCCTCCTTACTTGATCCTACAACTAGCAATTAGATGTCAGATTTGCTTCCCCAACCAAGTTTTTTATATGTTTTTGCTAATCCAAAGTGATTACTGTATTGCATCACATTCCCCCCCGCCAAAGAATACTTAGTGAGTCATTTATTTTAAAATGCAAAATCCAAAAATGGAGTACTTCACCATTTTTTTTATTGAGTTGTAATTCACATACCTTAAACATCAGCCTTTTAAAGTATACAATTTAGTGTTTTTCAGTGTATTGGCAAGGTTGTGTGACCATTACACACACTCATTCATTGGCCCGAAAAGAAATGCTGCACCATTAGCAGTCACTCCCCATTCTCTCCTCCTCCTAGCCCTTGGCAGCTACTGATCTGCTTTCTGTCTCTGTATATTTGTTTATTCTGAACATTTCATATAAATGGAATTGTACAATATGTGGGTTTTGGTTTCTGGCTGCTTTCACTTAGCTTGATGTTTTCAAGGTTTATCCATGTTGTAGCATGTATCAGTACTTAATCCCCCCCCCTTTTTTTTTTTTTTAAGATTTTATTTGAGAAAGAGAGAGCACCAGCACAGGGGGAGGAAGAGGGGGAGAAGTAGACTCTGTCTGAAATAAAAATGTGTTACCGTGTAAAACTTCTTTAACAAAATGGTCATGTAACCTGTATTTCTGAGAAGCACATGCCAACTGAGAAGAAAGTACCACAGGACATCTCAGGATCCAGTCCCAGGATCCTGAGATGGCCTGAGCTGAAGACTTAACTGATTGAGCCACCTAGGTGCCCCAGTACTTCATTCATTTTTATAGTGGATAATACTCTGTTATATAGATTACCATGTTTTGTTTTTCTGTTCATCACTCTTGGACATTTGATTCTACTTTTGGCTGTTAGGAATTACGCTGCTGTGAACACTTGTGTGCATGTTTTTTGTACAGACATATATTTCAGTTTATCTTTTGAACCGTTGCTTGTTCTTTGGAAGCTCAGCTTCTGTCCCTGCCTACAGAGGCCCCTGTTCTTTTTTTTTTTTTTTTTTAAAGATTTTATTTATTTATTTGACAGATCACAAGTAGGCAGAGAGGCAGGCAGAGAGAGAGAGAGGAGGAAGCAGGCTCCCTGCTGAGCAGAGAGCCCGATGCGGGGCTCGATCCCAGAACCCTGAGATCATGACCTGAGCCGAAGGCAGAGGCTTAACCCACTGAGCCACCCAGGTGCCCCAAGCCCCTGTTCTTATAAATCTTTAGCAGTAACATCCTCATACTTCTAACCTTACTGTTGCTTGGTAGATTTAGACATTACTTCTCTAAGAAACCTCTTGAGTCTAATGTGAAAACTTGGAGGAAGTAAGGCAGGATTAGTAAAATCCCCTGGATTGCTGGATTTAAATCTTAGGAAAGGATTTGCCAATTACCTTTTCTATAATGTATGTGATTGATAGGACTTTGAGTGTGGAGAGGTTTCACTACCAAATCCTTGCTCTGCTAAGCAAAACTGCAGTTTCTTCCACTATTGGAGAGAGAGCAGTTGAGATCCTCGCACTGAATTCATTTTATAAGTAAAAAAATAATAATCATGAAGTAGCTATGGGGTTTGGAGTTTTTTAGTGTAGTTGTATTTTACTAGGGTAGGCTTCTGAGAAGTTTTTAGATATTACTGGAATAATTGAATGTAATATATAGCAGTAACATATTCTAACACTCAAGAGAATATTTTGCTGGTCAAGTAATTGAGAATGCAAAGGTGAAGGGGGTGTATGTTCAGACATGGTGTAGTCAAGTTTTCAACTACTATGTAGACCAGATACTACCTCATTTATCGTGGCCGGAGCGACAAATCGACCAGGAACGTGAGGGTAAGAGGATGAAGAAAAGAACTCGAGAAGCAGAGAGGTGGGGGCGGGAGGAGCACTGAGGAGTATGTCCAACAGTGCTAAGTTTATTCAAAGCATTAAGGCCATATATATAGTGATATTACAATAGGAGAAGCAATACACCTGTGTCTAGTTAAACAACCACGATTTCCCATAATAAGTTTCACAATTGACTATAAGCAGACCTCGTGATGCCAAACGGCTGATGCCAGTACAATTGTTCTGTATTGATACAGCAAACCTGAAAGTAATTTATGGGCTGTACTAGGGCAGCAAGGACCAGCCGTGAACTTACGACCCCAACCGAATTGTTCTCATTTGTTTAGCAAGCCTGTGGGAAGTCACGTAGGTGAGCGCACAACACATAGCACAGACCCTTTCTCAGTGCGACTCAACTTTTCCCGTCCTAAACCTTTTGTTAGGTTATTTGGGCTTTAAAGGAGGCACAAGTCAGGGCCTGGTTTGGTCCTTGTCTCAAGCCTTATTGCGGCCTCCCACACTCATTTCATTAAATTTTCCCAAAAGAACACCAAAAAATCCATTTCCAGTGGTTTAATAATAGCTTACTCTATTTTCAGCCCCCACTTTTAAAGATTTTATTTATTTATTTGACAGAGATCACAAGTAGGCAGAGAGGCAGAGAGAGAGAGAGAAGCAGGTTCCCTGCTGAGTAGGGAGCCGGATGTGAGGCTCGATCCCAGGACCCTGGGATCATGACCTGAGCCAAAGGCAGAGGCTTAACGCACTGAACCAGCCAGGCGCCCCCCGCCCTTTTTAAAATTATTTATTTATTTATTTGAGAGGGAGTGAAAGCGAGAGAGATTATGGAGGGAGAGGGAGAAGCAGACTCACTGTTGTGCAGAGAGCCCGATGTGGGGCTTGATGGCATCCTGCCCTGAGTGGAAGGCAGCTGCCTAACCATCTGAGCCACCCAGGTGCCCCTATTTTCTACCTGTTTTAAACTATCACTTTTACTTCTGGCAGGAAGGAGAGGCAAGAAGTGTGTATGCACTTGGTAGTCATTAGTTAAATACTTCACTAGGATCCCATTTTATAAATGAAAAAATTGAAAGGCTCTTGAGACTGAATGTTGTTCTGATTTCTTCTCTTTTTAGGACATTTTCCCTGTACTTTTAGAGTAATTTTCTTGCCAAATTAGTTTGTAAATTGTCAGTCTTTCCTAAAAGGAGAAAACTCAAATTGCTTGAAAAACTGAAAGGATACTCTGAGAATTTTATTAAAGACAGTGTAAACCAAACCAAGTGAGATTAATTCTGTGCCATATATGATTAAGCTATAGACTTTATCTGGGATTATAAAGTATGAAGCCTGTTTTAATACTTTGTAATTTTGTTTGTTTGTTTGTTTCAGTGAAAAGTGTAAGGCTAGAGGATTTACCGTGATTGTGGATGGCAGAAAATCACAGTGGAATGTGGTGAAAACAGTAGTCTTAATGCTACAGGTAATTTTATTTTTGACTATTAGGAAATGGTTTTATTTTATAGCAGCAGATAAAGTGATAATGGCAAATGCATTTCATTTATTTCACTGTGCCCAACCTTCTCAGCAGTGACTGAGTTCTGAAATGCACACTACTGGATTTTTAAAATTCATTTCTGAGAGGTTTGATTTGAATAGTAAAATAAATTTGAGACCTATTCTAAAGATTTGTAAATGATAAAAAATAGTATGTTGTGTTTAAATAATTTAGTAAGTAGGCCAGTGAGTCCAAAAGTGTAAGATATTGTCAGACTTACCTGGGAGTTTCTGTGTGCTGTGATATCTACATTGTCCCCTGTCTCCTCCATTCTGATACTGTAGGTGGCAGCAGGACTGGGTAAGTCTAGTCTGGAAGAGCTTCTCATGTGGTTCTGAGCAGTCTTTTCCTTCTGTTCCGTACTTTCCTCTAAAGAGTACCAGGATTTGTGGTACTTCCTGGAAGAAATGTACTTGACAGCTGTGTCCTTGGGAACTTGAGCAGCCCACAAATCAGCATTTAATAAACAGCTGCAGTTGCAAAGTCTTTGGTCTGATACTAGTTTTTGTATTTCCTTGTGTTCCTCACAGGAAGATTTCACGATGTTTGCTTGAACTAGGTACCTACCTACCTAGTAAACATTCTTTGCTTTATTATTAGGTTATTGAGGATGTTGTGATCTGAAATGGAAAAATAAACCATTTGAGTGATTTAAAGGTGGCAGATTGCTCTAATGTATCTGTGTTTCCTTAGAAAGTCTTCAAGAGTGTAGAAATTAAGTGAGTTAAATAAAAGAGATTATCTAATTTAGATGAAAGAAAGTGAAAAGGAACACTAACTTAGTGATAGCTCAGAGATAAATATAATGAAGGGATTTGATGGCAGGTCAGTTTGGGGAAAATAGAAGTTGACAGTTATATGGGATAGTGAATATTCAGTTAGGGAAATATCAGTGACATTGAAAGAAAGATCAAGTATTTTAAATGAATTGAGAAATAATTAGTAACTGCTTTTGGGTTCTGTGGAAAGAAGTATAATTTCAAATTTTATTTCATTTTCATTTTTTTTAAAGATTTTATTTATTTATTTGAGAGGGAGAGAGGAAGAGCACAAACAGGAGTGGCAGAGGGAGAGGGAGAAGGAGGCTTCCTGCTGAGCAGGGAATCCTCTGCTGACTCCATCCTAGGACCCTGAGATCATGATCCAAGCTGAAGCCAGATACTTAACTGACTGAGCCACCCAGGTGCTCCATAATTTAGAATTTTAAATGATAACTAAGAAGAATGGCTCTTTTTTTTTTTTTTAAATATTTTATTTATTTATTTGACAGACAGAGATCACAAGTAGGCAGAGAGGCAGGCAGAGAGAGAGGAGGAAGCAGGCTCCCCGCAGAGCAGAGAGCCCGATGCGGGGCTTGATCCCAGGACCCTGGGATCATGACCTGAGCCGAAGGCAGAGGCTTTAACCCACTGAGCCACCCAGGTGCCCCAGAAGAATGGTTCTTAATGTTTTATTTTTTATTTGGGATTAGAAAAAAGGGATTTTGGGGGGTGGGAACTAGTAATTTCAGTGCTCAGTATGGTTCGGGTAGTGTACTAAACTTTCTATAAATTAATCACATTTAACTTTATCCTCACTACCTTGGGAGGCAGGTTCTATTATCCCAAAGATCAGCTGAGGCTCAGAGTTTTTATTTTATTTTATTTTATTTCATTTCATTTCACTTATTAAAAAGATTTTATTTATTTATTTGAGAGAGAGAAAGCATGAGCAGAGGAGAGTGAGAAGCAGACTTCCTGCTGAGCAGGGAACCTGATGCCAGGCTTGATCCTAGGACCCTGAGATCATGACCTGAGCTGAAGGCAGATGCTTAACCTACTGAGGCACCCACACACCCCATGCTTAAAGATTTTAAATAACTAGGTTCTTATAATGAACGTGGGAAAGAGCTGCAGTTGGAACCCCCAAGTCTTGGCTTTATCCTTTACAAAGGGTATATTTACCAATGTGGGGGGTATTGGAGGTCTATCCAAATTATCTTTCCATTACCTTCTTAAATGTGTGGCCTAAACCTTTATCATTAGAATTACTCCTTTGGGTTGGAAAGGATATAGCCCACAGAGGATCAGTTTTTTAAGGGAGCACAGATTGGTATTCCATCACTTTTTTTGTCTGGTGTATTCCCAGTACTTTTATATCCCAACCCTAAAGATGAACTTTTCTTGTAAAAGTTGTTAAAATAACTATTAGGTGAGAAATCCATTAATTATGACCTTGTGTTCTTCCTTTCATCCTGTCATTCAACTGTGTCACAGATGACCTCTTTGGGACTTGCTGTATGAACTGGACTTTGATCAGTGGCAGTTTTGAAGAACAATCAGTGGATGATTTAATCCCCTCTTGCGATTTCTTTTCTGATAGGTATTTTAACAACTTTTGGATTTATTAATAGTTAACATTTTCAGAAGTTGCAATGGCCTTTTGTTTACTCCTATTCACACAGTTTTTACATACATAATCATTCATTGCTTTTATTTCAGAAGGTACTAGTACCAGTTATTTGGGATCCCAGAGCTTAGTGTTGGCTTTGTTTGTAACTAATATTCTCTAAAATGAGTAGTTTGGTTTTTCTTGTCTGTCACTACTTTAATATTCAATCATTTTGAAGTAATAGCCTTCCTCTAGTCAATATATAAATAAACCTCAGTCTAGCCTAGATTTTCCAAACTCTGATAACTTTTGATACTGTTGAATTTATTTATCTTACTCATAACCCAGTCATTGCAGAGGGCACCAGATTTGTTATGTGCCCAAAAATGTGTTTAAATTGAAAGATTTCTATTTTCTCCTAATTAATAATAATTAATTGTGACCATAATTTATTATTATTCAGTTGTGCCATTTATCGTCTTAAATGATATTTGACCCCTAGAGTTTGTAAATAATGTTTTATTGAAACTCAGCTATGTCTATTCATTTATATTTTTTATAGTTACTTTCATACTACAATGACAGACTTGAAGTAGTTGCAGTAGAGACTTTGCATAGCCTGCAAAGCCTAAAATATTTATTATCTACACTTTTGGAAAGAATTTACTGACTCCTGGTGTAGAACATTTGAAATGGTGTGGTAGAACTTTAGAGTCAGACCTGGTTTCTGTTTTAGTACCATCAGTAAACAACTCTGTTATATTGGAAAAGCTTCTTTGAAACTCAGTTTACTCTCCTGTAAAATTGGGAGAATGAGATTTCCTTGCTGATGTGAATTCATTTATTCAACAGATATTTATGGAGTGTTTTCTATATGCCAGGCACTGTCATAGGCTGGAGATATAGGGGTGACATGATAGATAAGGTAATTGCCATTGGGAAGCTAATGTTCTACTTAAGGAGTCAGTAAGTAATTAGGCTAACTACTAATTAATGTAACAGCAGACAGTGATAAGTGCTATGAGGCAACATACAGTAGTAGAAGATGACTGAATCAGATGGTGCAACTTTAGATAGGGTGGTCAGGGAAGGTCTCTCTGTAAAGGGAGTGTTTGAGTAGAATCTTAATGGAGGGAGCATTCTTCCTAGGTGTATAGGGCAAAAAACACTACAGACAGAGGAAACGTCAAGGGTATAAGCCTCAGGTGGAAACAGACTTGTTATATTCCAGCAACAGCAGGAAACTTAGTATGGCTATGGTGGGGGTATGAGCTAAGAGGGGAGGGTATGAGCTAAGGTTTGAGGGTCAGTGGGGCCCTGAGCCTGGAGGGCTTTCTAGGCTTTGGAAAGGAGTTTGAATTTTACTGTGAGCATGAAAAAATGTGAAGGAAGGAAGGCGGCCTGTTTTTGTTTTTGTTTTTTTTTTTGTTTTGTTTTGTTTTTTTTTAAAGCTGACTCGTTTGGGGATGTTAGCAGTGTGGGTGGTAGAAATGGATAGGTTTAAGATCGTATTTAAAGATAGACTGTATGGGGTTTGCTGATAGAATATACATGGAATATTTTATTAACTCAGTAAATTTTAACTTCCATTCTTCTTTAGGTAATATGAATAACCATATCTATTAAATGTGAAATTGTATTTGTCAGAGATTAGCTAGTCCTGTTCTTCCAGTTAATAATCCAGCAGAATCTGGGCTTTTTTGTATAATGGCCAGTAAGAAATTTATTTTACGAGAAAATTGATTTTACACTTTTGAAGAAATTCTCCCAAGGTGATTGTTAAAAAATTTTTTTTTCATATAGTAGAAAAACCAAATGTAGTAGTTTGCCAATTAAAAATTGTCTTACAGTTTAATCTGAATATATACCTATTAGATTCGGTACAACACAAAAATAATTTACATGTACTGTGTATATTACATTGAAATCTTTTCTGAATCGACTTGCCTTTCCAAGTATTTCTTTATTGCCATGTATGTTTTGAAGCTTGGAGTATTTCTTCTTATTTTAATTCTTTTCCAAGGGTCTTTTAATTACTCAGCCCAACCATGAAAACCTAGTAATTTATAACTTTAATAAATTATTCATTTTACATGTATAATTTATGATTTTTTTTTTTTTTTGTATTTTATAGAATGTTGTTCCAGCTGAGGTGTCCCTTGTTTGTGTAGTGAAGCCTGATGAATTCTGGGATAAGAAAGTAACACATTTTTGTTTTTGGAAAGAGAAGGATAGACTTGGCTTTGAGGTAAATAAACTCTATTAAAAAGCAGAAATGTGTTGTATCTTTAAAAATAGTATGTTGCTGGTATTTTATTTGCACATCGTTGGAAACTAAGCTGAGCTTGTGCAGTGATGAGTCAGTGCCTAAGCAATGAATAGTATGTAATTGACATTCAGATACTTGTGGAATATATTATGATTCTTTTTCAAAGACTATAAATTTTTTTCTTGTTTTCATTTGTATCACTCTTTATAAACTTTGAGTAAGTAGAACTTTTTATTTAAACAAAAAATACTGTATTACTGAGAGGACATTTAGCTAATACTAGGAAACCCTGGACATTTTGAAATTGGAGTATATTTTGTGTGATATGTCATAATTATTTTTAGTATCTGGTTTGGTTTTCATCCATGAAAAAAGTTATCTGTCCTTTCCTATGGACGCTCTGTCTTCATCTGTCTTGTGTAAAAAGTACATCTTATTGTAGATCAGAAAGAAGTTCCAGATGGAAGACAAATTTAAACAATTCTGTCATATTTTTCCTGCCACAACCTGTTAAAAGTTTTTTTTTATCCTTGATACTATATCTGGTTCTGAACTGTACCTTGTTTGACATTAAAATAGCTATTCAGCTTACTTTTGACTGGTGTTGGCATGTTATATCTTTTTCCATAATACCTTTTTACTTATCATCTATTTACCTATTTCTTTGTATTTAAAGTGGGCTTCTTATAGTATCCTTGGGTGTTGCTTTCATATCCATTCTGACAATATGTCCTTTACAGTGTTTCATAAAACCGTTTATATTCAGTGTAATTATTGATACAGGTGGATTAAAATCTATCATCTTGCTAGATTTTAGGTACTTTTTGGTTCTTTTTTTGCCTTCTTTTGGATTATTTTGTATTATTACATTTTATCTCCATTGTAGTTTATATCCCTTATTAAGAAAATTTTTTTATGTGCATGCCCTAAGTTTACAATGTATATCTTTAATTACCTAAATAATATAGCACTTAATATGTAGTAGAAATTACTTAAAACAGTATATATCCAGCACTTCCATTGTAGTCATACATTTTACTTCTCCTGTTCTATAAACACACAATATGGTTACTATTTTTGCCACTGATAGTTTATTTACAGCAATTAAAATAAGAAAAAAATGAATTTTATCTTTCTTTATGCCACTTATGGTGTTCTTCATTTCTTTTTGGAGATTCATCTTTTTGTTTGATATGTTCCTTCTGCCTAAAGGACTTCCTTTAACGTATCTTGCAGAGCAGGTCTGTTGGCTTTGAGTTTTTTTAGCTTTTGTTTTCCTTAAAAAAACCTATTGTTTCTGTTATGGTTTTGAAAGATATTTTCAATGGGTATGGAATTTTGTTTCATTGTTTTTTTCTTTTAGCACATTAACTATATAACACCATTGACTTCTCATTCCCATATCTTCTTTTTTTTTAAGATTTTATTTGTTTATTTGACAGAGAGAGATCAAAAGCAGGCAGGCAGAGAGAGAGGGTGAAGCAGGTTCCCTGTCAAGCAGAGCGCCCGATGTGGGGCTTGATCCCAGGACCCTGAGATCATAACCTGAGCTGAAGGCAGAGGCTTCATCCACTGAGCCACACAGGCTCCCCTCATTCCCATAGCTTCTAAGGAGAGTTCTATTATTTGCATCCGTGGCCTGCTGTGTGCCATATATCTTTTTTCCCTGTTGGCCACCTTTAAGATTTTCACTTTAGGGGCTCTTGGATGGCCCTGTGTCAGGCTCTCTGCTCGGTGGGGAGCCTGCTTCCCCCTTTCTCTCTGCCTGCTGCTCTGCCTACTTGTGATCTCTCTCTCTGTCAAACAAATGAATAAAATCTTTAAAAAAAAAAGATTTTCACTTTATTTTTGGGTTTTCAGCATTTTTATTATATAATGCCTAGATGTATTTTATTTGGTATTTGTTCTCTTTGGTGTTCTCTGCATTTGTTGGCTCTCTGGTTTGATGTCAGCCATCAATTTTGGAAAATTCTTAGATTTTTTTTTCCAAATATTTTCTTCGCCCCATTTTCTTTTTCTATTTCTTCTAGAAGTCCGATTATATGTATCTTAGACTATTTGAAAATTTCTCACCATTCTGGGTTGTTGTTCTTATTTATTTATTTATTTATTTATTTTTTTTCTGTTTTATCTCTTTATGTTTCAGTTTGGGTATTTTCTGTTGATCCATTTTCAAGTTACTGTTTGTTTGTCTTTATTGAGTTTGTTGAGACCCATTCATTGTAAATTACTTTATGTTACCATGTTTTCGGTTTGTGACATTTTTTTTTCCTTTTTTTTTTTTTTTTTTTAAAGATTTTATTTATTTATTAGAGAGAGAGAGGGAGGGAGGGAGGGACAGTGAGAGAGGGAACACAAGCAGGTAGAGTGGGAGAGGGTAGAAGCAGGCTTTCTGCTGAGCAGGGAGCCTGATGTGGGGCTCAATCCCAGGACCCTGGGATCATCACCTGAGCTGAAGGCAGATGTTTAACAACTGAGCCACCCAGGTACCCCAATTTTTTTTAAATTAGCATATAATGTATTATTTGTTTCAGGGTTATAGGTGTGTGATTCATTAGTCTTAACACAACACCCAGTGCTCACCACAACACATGCTCTTCCCAGTGTCCATCACCCAACTGCCTCATTCCCCTCACCCTCCTTCCCTCCAGCAACCCTTAGTTTGTTTCCTAAAATTAAGAGTCTCTTATGGTTTTTCTCCCTCTCTGGTTTTGTCTTGTTTCATTTTTTCCTCTCTTCCCCTATGATCCCCTGCCTTGTTACTTAAATTCCACCTATCAGTGAGTTCATATAATTGTCTTTCTCTGATTGACTTATTTCACTTGGCATTATCCCTTCTAGTTCCATCCATGTTGTTGCAAATGGCAAGATTGCTCTTTTTGATGGCTGCATAATATCCAGTGTATATATACACCACATCTTCTTTATCCATTTATCTGTCAGTGGATATCTGGGCTCTTTCCATAGTTTTGGTGTTGCATTGCAGCTATAAACACTGGGGCACAGGTGCCTCTTTGGATCACTACATTTGTATCTTTGGGGTAAATACTCAGTAGTGCAATAACTGGGTCATAGGGTAGACCTATTTTCAACTTTTTTGAGGAATCTCCATACTGTTTTCAGAGTGGCTGCACCAGCTTGCATTCCCTGTTTGTAACATTTCTATTTTTTAAATTTCTATCTCTATTGAAATTCCCCATTTCTTCTTGCATGTTGTCTTGCACTTTTTCCATGAGAACTTTCAGCATGTATTATATTATCTTAAATTCCCTACTTGATACTTCTTCTATTCTGGGTCTTACTCTAGTTATATCTTTTGCTTTGTTTCCTGACAGTGGGTTGGTTTTTTTCTTGCTTTTTGCATTCCTTGTCTTTTGTTGGATGTTGAACATCTTGTTTAGGACTGAGGTAAATAGTATTGTACCTACACATGGGTCCATCTTGGCTTTTGCTAGGGTTTTAATGGGGCAGGAGAATTAGCCTAGCCAGGAGTTGAATTGACTTTGACTTGTTGTTGCTATTATTTTCTTCAGTGCACCACAGGCTTAGGTTGTGTTTATACCACCCTTAACTATAGGTCTTTCCTTTGCACCTTGCCTCAGAAAAGATCTCTTTGCAATTTTGACACTCCATTAGCAGAAGACTGCTGTTCCTTGTTATTCAATATTTGTCAGAGGGGCATTTTCTGTTGTTCTGGTCACCCTCAGTCTTAGGCTGGCTTTGTGACACTGAGTCTAGGGAATACGGCCCTCAACTCAGGTTTAGAAAGCCTATGATACCCTGGGCTCATCATATATTCTTGTCTCTAGTAGGATAGAGGGCTTTTCTTTTCCTTTCCTCTAGCTACAGTGGGGCTGTATTTGTGCTCTAAGGTCATCTGGCTTTGTTGCTTTTCCCTCAGGTCATGAAGATTTTTATTCTCTAGAAGAGATAGAGTTGAAGAATCTCTGCCATTCTTCAGCTTCATGCCTTTCCAGTGGTGGCTACTATTTGCATCCCCCAGGCCTGTACTCTGAGAGAGGCTGTTTTGTTGAAGTTACTGATCTTTATTATCCCAGTCTTTCTCATGATTCCCAGGAGGTCTGTGGAGAAGAGCCCTTGAGTGGTGGAGTTCTTCGTGTCCATGCTTCCCACAGGTTCTCTATTTTCACATTAGTTCACATTCGGCCTTTAGCAATTCATTAAAAATGTTAGCTGAATTCTTTCCTGGCTTGTATAGTGTCAGGCATTTTTTCCCAGGTAAACAAGTGCTCCAGCCCCATCTTTTTTCGAAGGCACTGGTCTATCCTTAGATTTCAAGTTAGTTGGTTGTCCTGTTAACCCTCATGGGTTCAAGAAAAGTTTTCGTTTTTCACATTAACTTGCATCATTTTGATGGTGGAGATGGTGGTGTAAGGGTTGGAGCATTGTTCTTTCTAGCGTTCTACATCCTAAGCAGAAATGAGTTGCATTTCCCCCCTGCTTTTATCTTTTACGCTTTAATCATTGGTTAACTTGACTATGGTATAGACTTAGTGGAAAGCTGTGCTAGCGTTGTAGGGGAAAGCAGTCTGGGCTGCTGGGTTCCATTAGGAAAGGTGTTACCCTGATAGTTGAATGGGAAACTGCATCCCAAAGAGGAGAAACAAAAGTATAGCGAGGGAAGAGAGTAAAGTAAAGTTTGAAAGTGGGAGGCCTGAATGTTGCCATGGTGAGTGAGTACTTTTGACTGGTGGGAGGTGTGCTGTTCATGCCAAAGCGCACAGGAAATGTTGCTCTGAGATCATGCAAAGTGAGCAGAGGCAAGTGGTGTAGAACCTAAAGCTGCGAACACTCAGTAGGAGAAAAGATCCCTTTTATGAAGAGCCCGTCACATCCTGCTTAAGCATAGGCATCTGCTCAGAAATGCTTTGCTTTGTTGGTCTCATGATATATATGAATTCATAGTGGCTAAACACCTTGCATCTTAGAGGGTTAAATAGAAGACACATTTCATGTCT